TACAGCTGTCACAACTGCTTGTCCAACAAACATGTTTAAAGCCCTCTAGAAGCCCAAGCCTCCCTCTTCCTTTGCTACTACCATTCCTTCCTTGCTCACCCAGTGTACTCTTCGCTGCTCCCCTCTCTGGACCCAATAGAAATTAAGGATCATACTGTGAACTTCATTGAGGGTTGTCATTGGGACTCTAAAGACTGACATGACATAGGCAAACTGAGCCTGTGCAACCGACTTGATGAGTGTCTCCCTTCCTGCTACTGATAGCACTTTTTCCTTCCACCCTTTGAGATTCTTACTCACTTGTTCTTTGATGTTCTGAAAAAATTCCTTCTTCGATCGTCCCACCACAGTAGGGAGACCTAAATATTTGTCATGTTTCTCCACTATCACCATCTCTAGTGTGCCGCTCACCATCAGTTGTTGATGCGTGGAGACATTGCCGCTAAATGATACTGCAAATTTTTGGAAATTTATCTGTTGGCCCGATTTCGTTTCATAGGCCTTGAGGATCTCTTTGAGCTTGGAGCTCTCTTGCACATTTGCCTTGCCAAAAAAACAACAACATCGTCAGAGATGTAACATCGTTGGGGCCCTGGCTGCCGGTTGGATGCCATGAAAGAGATTGTCTTCGGTCGCTTTCTTCGTGTAGGCAGACAGTCCCTCAACACAGAGTAGGAATAGGTACGGTGACAAGGGATCCCCTTGCCGCAAACCTTGTTCCGGAATAAAGCTTGGTGATTGGTGTCCATTGACCAGGATGGAATATGACACAATTGTCACACACATCATGATCAATCGTACCCATCGTACCGTGAACCCCATCTTCACCATCACTCCTTCCTTAAATCGCCACTCTACTCTGTCATAGGCTTTGGTCATATCTATCTTAGCTGCAAAGAAACCTTGACCACCCTTCTTCTTATTCTTCTTCTTCATTGTGTGGAAACATTCAAATGCCCCCATTATATTGTTTGCGATGAACCATCTGGGCACAAAAACACTTTGTTCCGACGATATGATTCTGTCCAGTACGATTTCCATTCTGTTCGCCAGCGCCTTTGAGACTATCTTGTAGAGGACATTACACAGACTTCTCGGTCCAAATTCCTTTAGCGTCGTGAGAGATTTCACCTTAGGAATTAGAGCGATAAGTGTGTGATTTAGCTGGTTGTGCATCTCCCAAGGTCTCCAATATACCCAATATTGTATTGACCACGTCGTCCCCGATGATGTGTCAATACTTTCTTAAGAAAAGCACTGACATTCCATCCGCCCCTCGGGGCTTTTCTCTTCCCCATTTGTTTCAAGGTTCGGAATACTTCTTCTCTGTCAAAAGGTTTATTCAGCTTGACATTCTGATCCGTGTGACGTTACTCTGAATAAAGTCTAAAACTAGAGTGACATTAGGTGTGGCGCCTGCAGTAAAAAGGATACGAAAATAATTAGTTAAGCACATGAACACTTCCTCCTGCCCCGACACCCATCCGCCTGTCTCATCCTTCAATCTCTTAATTGTATTCCTTTTTCTGCACGCTGAAACTTTTCAGTGGAAAAATTGGTATTGTGGTTACCCCCCTTTAGCTAGTCAACTCTTGATCGTTGTTTCCAATACTCCTCTTTGTTCGACTCAATCACATCCAACTCCTCCTCGAGCTGCTTCATCTGCATTATCACCTACTGGGTTGGCTGCATACACTGAAGAGCTGTCAGCGCCTTCTGGATCCTATTTTTATGTTTGGTGAAGTTTGGGAAAGCGCTCCTGCTCCAGACGTTATTTCATATCTAAACCTAAATAATATTAATAATTTGTAAAAGTTATTATTGCCCTTTTTTTAGTGGTAATGACAATATAATTGTAGGATAAAATTCAATAATATAAAGAAGTATGTGTTTGGAGGAATTATTTGCTATCATAGGCTACTTGGATATTCATTGAGTTGGATTGGAATTGGTTTTCTTCTTTTAATTTATGGGTGCAAATCAGTTTAGTGTTAGGTAATTACTAGGGCTGTCCATTTGGTTTTGGTTTTTTGGTTTTAACCGATACCAAACCAATTGGAAAGCTAATGGTTTCAGTTTTTTTGTTTTAAACCAATAAGCAACTTAATGGTTTTGGTTTGGTTAAAACCGAAAAAACAATAGAAACCATTAAGAAACCAATAAGAATAAAATTATTTATCAATAATTTTTTTTTTTAACACACATGCCAACCAATAATTTGTAATGGCCATTTAACATTATTATGACGTTTATTCAATAAAAAGGAGGGAAATAGGAATAAATATGAGTGTATGAGTACATGTTGGTTTTTTGGTTATCCAAACCAAAACCAAAACCATTAAGGTCCTTATTGGTTTTTGGTTTTGGTTTTTGGGATTTGGTTTTCATACTTAATGGTTTGGTTAACCAAACCAAACCAAATTGACAGCCCTAGTAATTACTAAGCAAAAAAACGTATAAAAAATTGAGCCAATAAGCTTTATCGGTTAACCTCTGTTATTGGTTCAGTTTGTGGTTAATTTGGAAACACTAACCAATAACAACCTTCATGTGATGTGATATATTTTTCTTTTGAATTTTATTGTGTTCTTTTATAATAAAATATAATCGGCTAAATTACACATTTGGTCACTCAAAATTACATAATCCTTTCACGTTTACCACTCAAATTATTTTTCTTTCATATTAGCCACTAACTTTACGATTTGTTTCACCGTTAGTCACTGACCGTCAGTCTCCGTTAAACTCCATTAACACCGTCATTTATCTTATGACATGGCAAAAGAGAGTGCTGAGTGGACTCAAAAAAACTGAGTCACACACAAGTTGACCGCCTAGTCAACCTCAATACCCACCCAACCCCTAAATCTTCCTCCTTCCTTGTCCCCAACCCAGATTTCCAATCTGAGAGTCGCGTCCCTGTTCTACCGTTGTCGTTGCCTTGCCGCCATAGAACCCACGTCTCCTCTCACGTTCGATTTCTGCACCTACTCCATTACTAGTAAAACGTTTCTCTTTCCATATTCCTATCCCTAATCCATCACTTTGAAACATAAATCCCCAAAATCGGCAGAAGGAGAACGGTGGCGAATAGCACCACAAGTGCCGAATTACCTTAGTCAGGAGTTCATCCTTGATTTCGCCGCCGTCTTATTACGACCCTCTTTCCCACTAGTAGCCTCTTTCCCACCTGGCTCTGACCCTCGTTGGAATTGTCGGCCAGATCTGAGAGCTCTGGTTTCTTTCTCTCGATTGGAGGCGGCTTCAAGGGGGAAGGGGAACTCTAAGTTAAGCGGCAATACGAGGGGAATCGGAAGCGGCGCGACCGTGGTTTCCGTCGTTGTACAGGGGAATTGAAGGCGGCGGAGCAGTCTGAAAATGCAGAGCCGACCCTATCTGAGTTGTTCTTGACTACGTCGCGGAGTCGAAGTCCAAACGTCGATTTGGGAGTTCTGGGTAGAAGAAAAGACCATTGTAGCTCGAACTGTAGGCCTGAACTGATCCCTTCCGGCGGACCCAAGCGTTTTAGTTAGGCGAAGCTGTTCAATCTTGTTGCGGTTCCGATTTGGATTTGTTGGGCGAACTGGATAATTAGATTGAATTGTTGGTGGCGATGATAATCATTTGTGGCGAAAATGGATAATGGTGGGGCTGATTATTATTATTGTTTGGCTATTGATTATTGAATAGTGATTCTTGTTGCCGATGATGATTACTGGTGGTAGCGGTGGATTATGTTGTTGTTGTTGTCCTGTTTTTACTCGGACAAATTGGAGAGGACGACTGGGTGCAGGCTCCGGTGAGAAAGAATGGTAAATTATTATTTTATTATTTTTTAATTTACATGTCACTAAGATAAGGGTCCAGTCAGCAGTTCCGTTTGCCACGTCATTAAAAAATTGACGGAGCTAACAGAATCTGACGGAGATTGACGGCAGGTGACTAATAGTGAAATGAATCGTAAAGTTAGTGGCTAATATGAAAAAAAAAGTAATTCAAATGGCAAACGTGAAAGATTTATATAATTTGGGTGACCAAACATGTAATTTAGTCAAATATAATCATACAAATATCTCAAAAATTTTAACTAGATCTCTACATTATTAACATAAAATAATAAAATATAATAAATAACATCAATACAATTCTACGCTTCTTCTGTCTACCTCCTTTAACTTGGCGTCTATGGTTGAAAGACCTTTTGGAGTTAAGATTCGTATCCTTACCATTCACTTCCGCTACCTACTGATGATGATTGCTACAAATTCTATCTATAATGAATTCATAATTGAAATTTCAACACATAAAATTAAAAATAATCAAACATCTTCATCGAATTAATGGGTACCGACTAGCAATATATCAAACACAAGTAACCCAAGGTCATCATCATTCACAAACATCAAACAAATAAAGACTACTAGGTGCGAGGTTCGCTCTATCAACTGCAAAGAAGAGTCGGAGAGGGGTGGTTTCAAGTTTTGACTCTCAAAACACATTTGAGACTTTGGGTAGAGGGTTGTTTAAACTTTCAACATATGAGAATTGGGAGGAACTGTAAATTTGACTGGTTATGATTCATGAATCATGAGACTTTTCCCTTAGCCAAAATCCGAAATCATATGATTATACTAATGAGCTAAATCGGACTTAAACGATCGGATCATCAACCCTCAACTCACGTGGTCAATCAGACCAACAAGCTAAACCGACTTCAAAAATCTTGATTACTGGTTGATCATTATCATGGTTTATTAAAATCTATAATTGACTAACCATTTATAAGCCTGAATAAGTACTATTGGTTTGGATTTTGAAACAACCTGAGGCCTCAGCCCAGCCATAGTCGTCCTGTAACTCGTGTGGTAAAGAGAACTTGAGAGTTGAGAGAGATCATGGTCCCACAATGGACTAAAATTCTTGTCAATATCTGCCATGTGTGGGTCCCACTTCTTTTTCTCTCGAGCTAAGCAAAACGCACCGTCGTTTCTTCCCTCCATTCTTATTCTGCTTATTTTCCGCTTTTTATAACACCCACATAAACCTTCACTCATCCCCCACGTTCTCTGCTCCACTAATCAGATAAGAGAACACAGACATATTAGAGCATGGAGATGCAAATGCCAACGGTGAGAAACAGCAACAACAGAGGCAAAAGAGGAAATCACATGCCAATGGAGAGAAAAGCAAAAATTCTTGTCACTATCTGCCATATTTTTCTTCTCGAGCTTACCAAAACGCACCGTCGTTTTGTCCCCATCCATTCTTCTGCTTATTTTCCGCTTGTTTATAACTCCCACATAAACCTGCTCTCATCCCCCCACTTTCTCTGCTCCACTAAGCAGTAAAAAAGCACTACTCACACTCTCTCCACTCCATTGCCTCTTCTCTCTCAAGTCTGAAAAACCAGTGAGCAATGGCGCCTCCCTCTCGTTTCCTCTCCGCCTTCGCTTCACTCCTTCTCTTCACCCCCTTCTTCGCAGGTAAATAATGTCGATTCCGTGACCCCTCTTCCCTTTCTGGCCAATTTTTTTTCTTACTCTGATTTATAATGTTTATTTTTTTGTTGCAGATGGGGGCTCTATCGGGGTAAACTACGGCAGAATCGCCGACAACCTCCCGTCGGCGGTGAAAGTCGTGCAGCTCCTGAAATCACAAGGGTTAAGCCGGGTTAAAGTGTTCGATGCCGACCCGTCCGTGCTCCGATCTCTAGCCGGATCTGGAATCAAGGTCACCGTCGATTTACCCAACGAGATGCTCTCCTCCGCCGCCAAGAAGCCTTCCTTCGCAGCCGCGTGGGTGCAGAGAAACGTCGCCGCCTACCACCCGGCGACCGAGATCGAAGCCATCGCCGTCGGGAACGAAGTGTTCGTCGACACTCACAACACCACCAAGTTCTTGATCCAGGCAATGCGAAACATCCACCAGGCGCTGGTGAAATCCAACCTCCATTCCGCCATCAAGGTCTCCTCCCCAATCGCTCTCAGCGCGCTCCAGAATTCCTACCCTTCGTCGGCGGGGTCGTTCCGGCAGGAGCTCGTCGAGCCGGTTTTCCGCCCAATGCTGGAGTTCCTCCGGGAGACCGGCTCGTACTTGATGGTGAACGCTTACCCGTTCTTCGCGTACGAGGCGAACTCCGACGTCATCTCGCTGGACTACGCTCTGTTCAGGGAGAATCCCGGCAACGTCGACGCCGGCAACGGGTTGAGATACTTCAGCCTCTTCGACGCCCAGATCGACGCCGTGTTCGCCGCGATGTCGGCGCTGAAGTTCGACGACATCGAGATGGTGGTTTCGGAGACGGGATGGCCTTCCAAGGGCGACGGAACCGAGATCGGTGCCAGCGTGGCAAACGCGGCTGCTTACAACGGCAATCTCGTCCGTCGGATCTTGACAGGAGGTGGGACCCCTCTGAGGCCCAAGGCAGATCTGACGGTCTACCTCTTCGCTCTGTTCAACGAGGACGACAAAAACGGGCCGACGTCGGAGCGCAACTACGGCCTCTTCTACCCCAACGAAGAGAAGGTCTACGACATCCCCTTCACATCAGAAGGCCTCAAGAAATACAAGGACAAAAGAGCTCCGGCCACCGGCGGCGGCCATGTCACCGCTCCTCCGGTCACCGGAGGTGGAGTGTCGAGGAGCACGACGAGGAACACCTGGTGCGTAGCGAGTGGGGAGGCCGGGGAGGAGAAGCTGCAGGCTGCCCTCGATTTCGCCTGCGGAGAAGGCGGCGCCGACTGCCGGCAGATCCAGCCAGGGGCGGCGTGCTTCAAGCCGAACACCGTGGAGGCCCACGCTAGCTTCGCGTTCAATAGCTATTACCAGAGGAACGAGCGCGCCGGCGGTTCCTGCTATTTCGGCGGCGCGGCGTATGTCGTCGCCCAACCACCCAGTGCGTATTCTAGACTCATTCATCCTCTCTCTCGCTATCTTTTTGTCTGTTGTGGTAAATGTTAAAATGCGCCGGGTGAGCTGTATAAGACTGTAGGGTGGGAAATCGAGGGGGGGAAAAGGAAAATGGTGGGATCCAGGTAGTGCACGCCAGGTGGTCAGAAGGGAGGTCAAAAGAGTACGGTATCACGTTGGGGATAGTGAGAATCTTTCGTCTTCAAATATTTACAATATTGTTTTTACTGACGTGGGTAGAATTTTAGTGCGTCAGTTGACTGTTTGACTATTTGACTGCGGTAAATATTAAAAATAATCGAATTGATTGTGTATTAATTAATTATATGAAATGGTGAATTGCAGAATATGGGGAGTGCGAGCTTCCGACTCGGTACTAAAGAAGAAAGAAGACTGATTAGCTGGGTTTAGTGATCAATGACTCATCTCCTAACAGGTTGGGATTGTTTTGAGGGAGTTAATTTATGGTGATTATATTTTGGGGGTAGTAGTTGGGGGGAGTGGTTAATTTTAGGTACCATTTGTTACGTAAGCTAAGTTTGTGGGTCTGTAATTATTATTATTAAGTTGTTGCTTTCAAGGATTGTGTTAACAATGTACGTTTCTACTTCTACTACGTATTACGTAAGCAATTTTTTTTTTGGGGCTTAGTCGTGAATGTCGCTTTCTGTCATTTACATTTTTAGTAATTGGCTTTGGAAGGTGGCGTATGGATGAGGAATAAACCACCATACGATGGGCATAGGTAATTTAATTTGATGCTAATTGGCAAGTTAAACTTCACTGTTAATGACAGACGGTAGACCAAGCTACAATGAACGACAAAGGAAGTTACGTGCAAGCCCGTTGTATTATTTAAACCGACGCTTTGTAACAACTATGGTTAAACAATATAAACTTTGATAGCACTATAAATGAATGAGAATGTAGCGATCATTTACTAATAATAATAAGAAGAAAAAAGTTACGTGGCAACTTTGTGATCCTTTTGATGCCGTCATTTTTTTCGGTGACGGGAAGCCTCAATTTCTTCAATTATTCCTGACATTTATGAATCTCACAAGTCATGAACATCAAGAAATCTTTCACTAGGAATAACAGGGTGTGGGTATATGATATGGAGAAGGCAGAAGGGAAATGAATGAACCAATGATTCTTTATCTGTATCTGCTATTTCTAGCTTTTCTGTTGTACAAGATATATGTAAAAGGGAGGGGTCAATGGTGCGGAAGGGTGGGTGGTGGTAAAATTATGAGCCAAACTTTAGTACATGGGAAGAGAATCAAAGATAAGATTTGAGAAAGATGAAATTTTTTGCAGTTGGAAAAATGCTTTTGAGCAAAAGAATAAACCATAAAAGTTGGGACTTGGGGGTTGCTTTGTTGTGAAAGTTCACATTGGATCCCCAATTTAGTGGTGTGTGCTCAGAATTCAGAATTTGAGTTTCTGTTTTGTTTTGTCTTTTGTCCCCCTTGGCCTAGGGTTCTTTGGGATATGGTCGGTCCATCCATGGCGGGTGACGCCGTGACGAGCACTACCACGAAACAATAATCTTCCCATACTTTTGGCATTATATATGTACTCAGATCTCTTCATAGAATTTGGTTATGGTATTCTGTGCAAGTACATGCTTATGGCGTTTAGTTGAACAGCGCTGTAATCAGATGTAACAAAATTGTCATTTAGTGTATGTAATTATGGTTTTATATTTTGTTTCAAAAAAAAAGGGGAAATTTATGGCTGTAGATTTGTGGGACATACGATCCAACGACATAAACATTTATTTATATAAGGTCTTGTACACGGATATGACAATTATGACCTTTCTCACATGAATCGATCTGTCAAATATGAATATTATCCATCACGTAAATCTCACCAATTTACAAGTGTTGATGCCAGTTTGAATCCTTTACAAAGTAATGTTATCATTCTTTAGTTGCAAGCCTTGTTATAAGAACCGAACTGTATCAACGGCCGGGCCAGTAGAACCATCAAACCAGTTACGATAGCGGTCCGGTTATTGTTTGAACGGTTATTAATGGACCAAACGGTTTTTCACGGTTCAACATAAAATCAGATGAACCGACACGGTTTAACTGGTCCATTGGTTCACTATTTTAACAAAAAAAAATATTTTAACATAAACTAAGACCATCAAATCATAATTATTAATTTTATATATGCTTCCTCAACCTTATTGTCGATTTTACATTGTCTACTACCAACTAGAACCGTAATTTTTAATTTGAATTAAAAAATGTGGTTTCTTTTGTGAGATGGTTGGAATGATTTATTAGATATTTTCGTGATGATATGAATTTGAACTTGTTTATGGTCAATGATAATTTCATTCTTAAATTAGTGTAATATACAAGTCTTATATGTTATATATCATTAACGGTTCTATCAACGGTTCACCAATGGTTTTGTAACGATTAACCAGTGAACCCTTAAACCACTAACTTTTCCGGTTCAGCCTCCGGTCCGGTTCTGAAAACAGAGGTTGCAAGTCTAGAAAATTGAGTTGATTAATCTCATTATTTTTCTCACTAAGTTAAAAAAAAAGCATCTTAATCAATTCATGGCAAAATAAAGATATTACAAACATTATTACTGTAACCACATACTAGAAGAGATCAAACTTGCCCATTAATAACTCAGCAATAATTCTTTTTACCTAAACTTGTACCACATAAAATATTTTTTTTTTCATTAGATCACTCTCAAAAAGAGGAAATCGTTCAGATACATGAAGATCAACAGAGTTTAAGCAACTCTGGAACCTAACCAAGAACAGAAGTCAAACCTCCGAAACAATGGAGGCGACAAAGAAAGAGCATGGCGGGCCACACTATGAGCCGCGCTGTTGCGAATACGACCAATAAATTGAATCGTATAAGAACCCACATCATTTAGCATCCCAAGAATTTCCTGCAGAATAGTACCAATCTTGTTGTCAGCCGAATCCCTCGTCAAACACTTGTCTATGATCAGTTTAGCATCTCCACAGATTATAAGATCTCTTAGCTCACGCCGACGACAGTCAACAATGCAGTCTCGTAAAGCCAAGGCTTCTAAGACATACGGATCCATCATCGCTTCATATCGATTCGCTGAAGCAGCCACTATCCCACCTGACAGATCAAACATCACAAATCCTGTCGTACCAAACCCATCCGCAGATGTTGCTGCATCAAACGTAGCCCTTCTTTGATTAATTGGTGGAGGTGCTGCAGTTGCTCGACTCGAACTACTAGCAAGTTCAGTAGCTGATTGCAGCAAAGCCCGGTCCACCTCCTTCACTTGATGGAACCACTGATGAGCCAGAGCATCCATGCGAATTGTCTTGATTGGAACACCACTGTACATCGATTCTTCCATAGCCTCCACAGCAAACAAATCACCTGCATAATCTTATAATCCGCATCTGGACCTGTTATCCTCATAATGGTAAAACGGAGGAATCCTGTGAAAGATCTTTTCTCCGCAGTCGCCCACAAACCCTGCAAACCAATAAGACTCCAAAGCTTTCTTGCTACCAAGCAATTGAAAAACATATGTTCTATCGTTTCTTCCTTACGCCCATATACTGGGCAAATAAGCAACAAGTCCATACCCCTCGAAACTAATGCCTCCCGAGTTGGCAGAATACGATGTAGACATTGCCATAAAAAGAAGTGCAACTTAGGAGGTACCTTTTCATTCCATACCCATTGCCATAAAACTGGATCAGTGAAGGAAGCAATATGTTTTCTTGTAGCGATTGGGTGAGCTTGACTAACCCAAAAATAAGCAGATTTAACTGAAAACCGACCTGATGCTTCAAACTGCCAAATGAGTTTATCACTAATCCTATGCAAGTGGAGAGGGATTCCACGGATTACCTGAATAGTGGTGGTATCGAAGTACAATTGCAGCATAGGCAGGTTCCATGATCTGGTTCCTGGGTCAATGAAAGCAGCCACAAAAGGAAAGGCTGTTGGAGCTCCTGGACGGGGCTTTGGAGTGGATGGTGGAGTAGTTGGCAGCCATGGATCTTGTAAAGCTCTAATCGAGAACCCATCACCCACCTGCCAACGAAGACCCTGCTCTAATAATTCTCGCCCAAACAAAACGCTTCGCCCACCCCAAGAAGGATTAGATCCTAAATTAGCATCCAGAATCGAAGCAGAATGACTGTAATAGCGGCCTCGGTAAATACGAGCTAACAATGACGTGGGATCATCCAAAACCCTCCAAGCCACCTTCGCAAGTAAAGCCTGGTTGAAATCACCAAATTCCCTGAAGCCTAGCCCACCGGATTGTTTACTTGAACATAAAAGCCTCCATGAACGCCAGTGAATCCTCCGATGTTGAATAGTGGCACCCCCACCAAAAACGTGCCATGTGAGCATTGAGTCGCTTTATAAGCTCCGAAGGAAGGCGGAAACAAGACATGATGTAAATCGGTAATGCCGATGCTACCGCTTTGAGGAGAACTTCCTTACCTGCAGCAGATAAAGTACGTTGTTTCCAACCTTGAAGAACGGATAGAAGCTTCTCCTCAACAAACCGGAATGTCTCCATCTTGGATCTACCTAGTAATGAAGGCAGCCCTAAGTAGCGATGTACCACATAAAATATTATATGCATATAAATATTATGGTGTCCGCTTCGTCAATTCCCTGACTAAGTAAAACACTAACCTTTCCTTGGTCCGACATGAACAAAATTCAGTCCAGATTGCCAAACTTCAATACCCCATGTGAGTAGCAAGTGACCTATCTGGCACAACATGTCGTTTGTGTCATTTCTTAATTTGGACGATAGAATAAGAGATGCCAATGTACAAGGATATTAATTATCAACTTTGTATTGGTCCCATGAGCAAAGTAGTGTTGCTTTTTTTCCTTTTTGATCATTCCACGAGATTTCACACTTATGGGTAGAATGAATAGTGGATCCCATGTTCCTTATAACAGCCCCCTCCCACTTGCTACTCTCTATGATGATGTATTTATGCTATTATGTAAATATAAACTCAAAGATTTTCAATTCTCACTCAGTATATTAACTTAATTTGTTCGTTTACTTAACTCAACAGCTCATCGGATCAATCTGTGCTTACATCATTAGTGATTTCTGAACGAGCTAGTAACCAGAATGATTTAGTTTTCGATATAATATTAGAGTTTTTGATTCATAGGTCCCGTGCAATAGTGTTTGTCATGACTGAGTTAATTACAAATTAAGTTACGTTAACTTGGTCTACACGAACTTTAAATTATGAGTTGACCTCTAATCCAAAAAGAATTGGGGGAGTTGTGTGCGATGTAATCAAGGAATCAACATTAGCTGTTGAGCTTTTTGCATCTCATTTTAATGCTTTGGATGATCTCAAAGCTAAGAACTATTTGTTTGATTCTGTCAAAAAACATCACGAAGACAGTCACTCATAATGATACTACAAGGGAGCTCTGAAATTTCATGAAGACAAAGTATCAGTTATTCAGTTGAGTGCTAGGGTTCTGAGAGCTCAGTTGCAATCTCTTAGAAGTGATTATGAATGTTGGAAATAGAGGAAGAATAGCATGTGAATAATTACTTTGGAAGAGTAATGGTGGAGGAAAATGCTATGAGGAGTTTTGGAGATTTAATGGATGATGTTAAGATTAGGTGTGGCTATACGGTCCGGTTAAATTGGACCAAATTGATTCGGTTCCAATCCGGTCTTTTCGGGTATATAAGGACCAAAGATTGGATTGGATACACTCCGGTCTTGATCCGGTCCGATCCCAATTTGATTTTGATTTTAGATTGAGCTTGTGGGGATTTGAGTGTTGGGGTCTCTTATCCGGTCTTTATCCGGTTTTTTTTTTTTTACCTCAAATCTAAAACCGAATATGAGATTGAATTGTTTGCTATCCGGTCCCAGTCCGATCCCGGTCCGGGTTATACGGTCCGGTTTCGAGTAAACACAAACCGTACTGGACCAAATTGCCAGCCCTAACTAGATAGTGAAAAAAAAAAAATTGTCCTAACTAGATAGTGAAAAAAAAAAATTGTGCACACATTAATTGGGAAGTTAAACTATATTTCGTGTTTGATTGAAGAATCAAAGGACACTTGTCTGTTGATGCCCTTCATAGGCCTTGTCCATGAAGAGAAATTTAAAGAACAGACAATTACTGAAATTCGAAAGAAGGAAAGAGAAGGGTTGTATATTGAAGAATAGCAGAGAGAGCAGGGTGGAGTCGGTAGTGGGAGGCTGATTCTCCTTCTTGCTTCTTTGGCTTTGCTAGTGGAAGTGTCACATGCAACTATTACTGTTGTTTGCAGTGGAATTATGTGCAACTCATTTTCTTGTCCCTTCTTATTGTCGATTCCCGCAACCCAACGTTCAGACTGAAAGACTGCTTCCAAGCTTAATTACCTAATCCCACTATATAAGCAGCTCCTATCATCAACTCCACTACTGCCTTTGTAACTTAATGACTGACATCATATATTACTAAATCGTGTCATGTTTAGTCACTAGAAAAATTTAATATCAATTTTAGTCACTCGAATTGCTGAAACTGGTCAAATTTAGTCACTCTTGTTTCAGTAATTCGAGTGACTAAATGTGACATGTTTCAATAATTCGAGTGACCGGAGTTGGACAGAGGCTACAGGAGAGTGACCAAATGTGATATGTTTCAGTAATTCGAGTGACCAAAATTGATGTTAATTTTTTCTAATAACTAAACATGACACGATCAAATAATCTCAGTGACCAAATATGACATTAACCCATATATAATTAGAGATTTCTAGATGTTCATTCACACGCTTCTCTATATAAATCATTTGTAATTTTTTTTCCTTTAAGAGAGGACGCATGAAATTAATTAAGCCATAATGTGTAGGCCAAAAAGGTAATCAAAGTGCATGCACGGTGTTAAAATTGATTGCATGGTAGCTCAAGTGGTTAAAGTGTCGTTTCATTACATTTGTTCAGGACGAGTTGGATGTCTACACAAACGAGCACGGGATGGGATGACTTGCTAACTCACTAAAGGTTAGCACCATACTAACCTCATTAATCCCTCTTCATCTTTTAAATTCTGTATCCATGGTAGATTTTTTTTTTTATATAAATCGATGGATTCATTTCATCAAAAGAAAAGCGCTAATAACTACCCTGTTAGCTAGGCAACTCAAACCAAAAGTAGAATAATAACAAACCCAATACTACGACAGCCTCCCCACAGTAGATATTAAAGAAGGATAGTTTTTGAAGTTTTTAAAACTAAATTAATTAAATTTTCAAAGTCACAATAAAACTATAACTTCTCTTTTTATATTTGCCATTTTTTTTATTCTCCCTTTCCTCTCCCTTTCTGTTTTCTCTTTCATTAGAAGAGTGAATCGCCAGATAAAATTATTGTTCGTCTTGCACCTCTCGTCGTTGTCTTCCCCCTCCCCGTTGTCGTAGCCGTCCTCGCCTGCGTCGTCGTCGTCTGCATCGCCAACGCCTTCGCCTTCGTTGCCCTCGCCTTTGTCGTCGTCATCTGCATTGGCCTCACCTCCGGGTGGGTTGAAGTCTTGTTATGGAGGCCTTCGAGTGGGTTTAGAATTCCTTATCTGATCTCCTTCTTGGCTCTGTTTGTTCACATCTAGATTAGTAGTGATTTTCAAGGCTAATAGTTTGCAAAGGCAGTAGTAAGGTTTCTTCATATGAAGTAGTGTTTTCCTTGCTAGTAATGTTTTTTTTTAGAATTTGAATTGTTAGCGATTCTCAACAATAGTAGCGTTTTGTTTTTTGGGTTTCGTATATATGATTTTCCTGTTTATTGAAGACTGTTATCATGACTTTCGGGTGGGTATATAATTTTAGATACACTCTTTTTTGTTTGTTTGACCGATGTTGCACCAAGTTCCGTCTTTTTACGACAGTCAACAGTGTGTAGTGTACTTCAGATCTTGATTAATCATAGTGATTTGTAAGTTTAATAGAGATTTGTGATTGCGTACGAATTTATAGTGGTGTTTTAGTAGTGGTTTTCAGTTCTGTTTAGTAGTGTTTTAATTTTAGCAGTGAAGTTTAGTAGTGATTTCAATTGTCGTAGTGATTTCCTGTTCTATTTAGTAGTGTTTTAATTTTAGCAGTGAAGTTTAGTTGTGATTTCAGTTCTGTGTAGTGATAGTTCTGTTACTAGTTATGTATGTTTAGTAGTGATTTTTCAGTTCTGGAACAATAATGTTTGTGGTCATTTTGTATGATGTAATGGCGGAGGTTAGTAGTGATTTTTAGTTTAGGAAAAACAATGTTAATAGTAATTTTGTATCGAACTGTTGTAAAACTTTTTCACTGGTAGTAGCCTTTTGCTGGACTTGCATACGTCGCCAGGAATACATTGCGTACAACCACCCTCCATTCACGATTAGAAAATCCCACAAATTTGAAAATAAAACCCTAGTACCAAATTCAGAATAGAAACCGTTTGGTACGGTAATCCCAAAAAATCCGCCCACAAACATATTTAATTAAAAATGGAAATCAATAATTAATGCACGCTATTCCTAATTTACTCTTAATATTTTCATAGCCATTAAATTAAAATTAGAAAAGGTTAGGACGGTGCTAACCCACCTATGGGATTAGCACCGTAGCTTCTCCCAACGAGCACATGTTCCATAATGAAATCCGACTTTTTACACTCCGTAATGCGATCTCAGAAAGCTAGAAGTTTAGCACATGACTCGGCTGCACACCTCCCAGATGGATCGGTTGGATATAAGCCCAAGTTCAGGCTCAACACACTAGAGAACAACGACTCCTACAAACCCAAATATAAAAAGGGCCCATAAAAAATCATTCTAAGATTACTTCCGACAAGATAATAAAAGCCCAACTACAAGCCCAAATGACTTTCCCCAAATACTCCACTCTCTTTGTTTATTCTTCTTCTAACACGATAAAATAAAAAAGGAGGAAGGTAGATTAAATAATAGAATGGGAAGAAAAAGAGAAACGATTAACGATTTCTAACGATCCAATCAACGCCAACAACGAGACATGCCCCATTCCTTTCTCCTCGCCGCTCCTTTCCCGTCCCTCTTGAAAAATCTCCACAACCAAACCCTCTCCCCTAATCACCCACAAACTCCTACTTTTCTCCCACCCGAAGGATCAAAAGAAAAAGAAGAAGGATAAGAAAATCCCCCTCCTGGTCCCGCAAACTTCCACCCCTCCCAATTGAATCATGCCAAGCAAATTACGCAAGGCAATTGGGGCGGTGAAGGACCAAACCAGCATAAGCTTCGCCAAAATCACCAGCACCAACGCTTCCAACCTCCAAGTCCTCATCCTCAAGGCCACCCGTCACGACGATTCTCCCATCGACGAACGCTACGTCACCGAGGTCCTCTCCTTGATCTCCTCCAGCAAAGCATGTGCCGTCGCCTGCGCCCACGTCATTTCCAAACGAATCGGGCGCACCCGAAAATGGATTGTCGCCTTGAAATCTTTGATGCTCGTCCTCCGCATTTTTCAGGACAATGATCCTTACTTCCCTCGGGAAGTTCGCAAGCGTGGGGCCAGAATACTGAACCTCTCAGGATTTCGCGATGATTCGAATAAGAGCCCTTGGGATTTCACCGCATTTGTGCGTACTTTCGCATTGTACCTCGACGAACGCCTCGATTGCTTCATCACCGGGAAGTTACAACGCAGCTTCACACATCGTGTCCGAATTGGGAAATTCCAACCCCCGAAGATGTATTTCAACGACAACATGAAGCCGCCTGTGCTCCTTGACCATATTTTTTACTGGCAGAAGCTGCTGGATCGCGTGATGGCCACACGACCAACGGGGGCCGCGGAATCGAACCGATTGGTTCATATATGTCTATATGCCATCGTTCAGGAAAGTTTCGATTTATATAAGGATATCTATGATGGATTGGCTCTCCTCGTTGATAGCTTCTTCCACCTACCGCACCAATCTTGCGCAACTACATTTCAGGCGTGCGTGAGGGCAATGAAGCAATTCGAGGAGCTCTCTTCTTTCTACAATTTCTGCAAATCGATGGGCGTGGGGAGGGCATCGGAGTATCCTAACATTAAGAAGATATCTGGGGAGCTAATTGGGACGTTGCAGGAGTTTCTAAGAGACCAAGCTTCGTTTCCAACAGTGGCTGGTGGTGGCCCGTCTCCATCGCGAAGACCGGAGGGGGAAGAGGAAGAGGTTGTGGCGGAGGGAATTTCATCACGCACTCGTCAATTGTCATCGTTGGAGGATTTGATGGGACTTGCCGGGATGGAGGATCAAGAGGTAGAGTCGCCGATGTCGTCAGAGAATAAGGACATGATCGACGCTGGCAAAGATATCGAGTCGTCGAGCTCGTTTTCATTCGATCAAGGGACGAGAAACACAAAGGGTAGTAGTGCTCTAGATTTGTTGTCACTGGACGATTGGGATCTGGAGGATTTGAAGCTAGATAATGAGAAGGCTTTGGAGAATTCAAATTCGGGTTGGGAGATTGTTCCGGTCGAGCTCGAGAAGCAGCCGAGCACCGAAATCCCTATTGGATTCTTTGATTTAAATGGATCTGAAAATTCTGGTTCATCAATTGGATTGGAATTTGGAATTTCGGCGACTACTAGTAATCAAGTCCCTAATCACCATTATAACCCATTTCTAGAGGATCTGGATGTTCAGTTGCCTCATATTGAAACAGAATCAAAGCCTTTGTCGCTTCCGCCGACAGAGGAGGGGAAGGAAACAATTCCAGTGGATGACCTTTTTCTCGGCGGGGACTTTTTAGAAGACACGACCAAAGTTTAACATTCAAAATCATAGTCATCGCAGGAGTAGCAAACTAAGGGAGTAGAAAATTGAACCAGAATCGGCGACGAGAATGACAAGGGACGAAAATGCGATGGTTTTGGCGAATAATTTCTTCTCGATGGTGAATCTGACGTTTTCGGCGAGGCCGACATTCGTTGTTCGGTATAATAATAACTCAAAGATTAGCGTATCAGGTGGATGGCCAACTGCGACGATTTGTTTGTATCGTTGCCAGTAGTGGCGTAAGGGGTTAGGTCAGCGGAGCGAGAGAACTTGTCGAGGGAATAAAAAATGCGGTTGGAGAATAAAACAAGATCATTGCAAAAAAAAATTGTGTTAATAATTGCATTTGAAAGGTTTCCGCAGTAGACTAGTTGATTGTGCGGATTTTTTTTAATACTTTTAGTTGCACTTTTTCACTTTCTGTAAAACAAAATGTGTTTTCTCAGACACACTGTAAATTTGTGTAACCAGTTAAGGCATTAAATGGTTAGTAGAACTTTCAAAATATGTGTTTAGATAGGAATTACCTACTATAAGTATGATTTTTCTTAGAGTTACACGAGGGTTGATGAAAATTTGATCAAGTTATTTAGACCTACCAACTTTGTTTCTTAAAAGAAAGGTAACAAAAGAAGAAATCGAAACAAATTTGTAGTTGATTATAGACGTGTCGATAGGAGTGCAAAATAAGTAACCATTCTAGTTATACAAAATCAGGTCATTTTTTACCCAAGTTTTCTTAGAACTTATCTAATTATAACATAATTTCGGTTAAACATCCTTTCAAACTTAAATTTTGAGTAACTAAAGGGAAAAAGGGTATCCTAGGACGATTTCAAACTCCGTAAGACAACTGCATTGAAGACTACCCCATGGAGCCAGTGGAGGCGATGCCCATGATAACTCCTACAGTGTTGAAACTATCAGATCATGTATCTGGAACCCGTCGTCCCCAATTGCATCCTTCTTTCCTAATAGAAAAGGGAAAAGGAAACACAACATTAGATGAAACAATCTAGGGCCATGGATCTTGGACAAGAGCTGAATGATGTAGTGCTAGAAGATATTCCTCACTCGGAATCAGGGCTCAAGCCACTTCAACGGTTGATCCCATATATGAGTCTGGAGTCCAACGAGGTGCATGGAAGCATTTATCAAAAATTTGTTTTCACATTCAACTAGTTGCTCAAATGTTTAACTAACTATTTTTGTGCGTTTTCAGCAGGTTAGGTGTCGCCGGCCTTGCCATTGTTAAATTCCATCAAACAAAAGATTATGCAGAGGAAAATGAGTAGCTGGTGAAGCAAGTGTTGAGGGAGGAAGTGATATTTTCCTTGAAACATATGGGGGCAAAAGGGCTCCTAAAGCAAATTGGATGTTTGTCTTGTTTTTTGATGATATTGGAGCATAGTCGATGAAGAGGTATTAATGATGGTGTATGATATTATAGATAAATATTAATTTAGATTTTGAGTGCTTCCACTCGATGAATAAAAAGGCTAAACGAAGGGTGGGATACGTAGAGGCCAAAATTTTTATGGCGAAAGCCGAAAGCGAATGATAGGGTGGAATGGTACTTTCTAGAGGTAGTGTGCATGTTGGGTTTGCAGAACAATGGATAAATGTGGTGATGAACTCTGTCTGAACTGTCTCTTATTCTTTCATTGTTGGAACCAATCACCGAGTATCGCTCCTAGTAGAGGAGTGCGACAAGGTGAACCTCTGTCACCGTACATCTTTCTTTTATGCACAGAGGCATTTTCTGTATACTTCACCCGCGGTACATGAAGGAAAATGCATGATTTTCAAGTTGCACTGAGGTTCTAGTTTTTTCTCATATATTCTTCAAGATTTATGCCATTTACTTGCTCGCACTATGGTCCAGAAAGTGAGGAGCTAAAACAGATCCTTAAATACTACGAAAAGGAATCCGGGCAACTTGCGAGCTTTTAGAATTTGGCGGTGTCCTTTAGTAAAAACGTTAAACCACACTGTAAGCTAGTGGTTAGTAGACTTTTGGGGACAGAATGTGGAGAAGTATTAGTAATACTTGGGATAACAACCACTATTGAGAGACCAAAGAATGAGCTTTTATGGGAGCTAACTGATAGAGTTTGAAAGAAGCCAAAAGGATTAAAGGGAAGAACAATGTCTGTTGCAACATGAGAAGTTTTGATAAAATTCATCTCACAAGCTTAATTCACTTATGCGATGCCGATGTTTCAAGTTCCAAAAGGTGTGTTGGATGAAGTTCACTATATGATTACGAAATTTTGACAGGGAGCCATGGACAAAGGGGAGCGAGCCCATTGGGGAAGCAGAAAGAGTTAGCTTGTATGAAAGAAAAAGGTAGGATGGGATTTCGAGATCTATGAGATTTAATACGACGGTTCTTGCAAAATAACTGTGGAACCTCTATCAAAAGACGGAATCCCTGGTCGCTCAGATTATTTGGGAAAGTACCACAAACATACATCTATGTATAGGTGTCAAAACAGAACCGGACCCGAGTAACCCGCACGATCAACTCGATCCACAACCCGACTGCAATCTGAATTGACTAAAAGTCAATGACCCGCAACTCGCCTGACCCGTAACCCGCCTGACTCGCAACCCAATTAGCCCGCAACCCGATTAACCCAAACCCGAGTGACCTGTAACTCGATTAAACCCGTAATCCGATTAACCCGAACCCGATTGCCCGAACCCGACTCACCCATGACTTGCCCGATTGACCCGAATAATTACTATATTATATAATATGTAGTATTTCGAAATGAAGTTTTTTTCTAAATTTAGGTAAAGCCATTTTTATTTTACCAATAGAAGTTCAAAATATTAAATTCACTTGAAATTATACATTTTTAATAAAATTATAACAATTAAAACATGAATTTCATTTTCACATGAAGTTTTTTAAAAAAATTAATAAATTATAAAATATAAAATTAGCCCAATGCCGGTATTGACAATGAGTAATGAACAATTGAGAAAATGTATAACATTAATATGGTATATATACATTTAAATAGTGGTTAATTTAACTATTCAATAAATTTATCAATTAAATATAAATAAAATAAGTAATTGATTTGGTAATTTTTATTGTTTTAAAAGAATTTTTTTTTTGTGTTTTCAAGTTTTTTTGGGGGAAAAAGAGGTAAATTTGATGTTTCTAATTTTGGGGAAAAAAAAGAAAATTTTGGTGTTTTTCATTTTTGGGAAGAGGGGTGAAAATTTTGGTGTTTTTTATTTCTGAAAAGAGAAATGAGGGGAAAGTTTTGTGGTTTCAACTTTTGGGGAAGAAAAGAAGGAAAAAAAATTTGCTTTCAATTTTTGGAAAAGAACGAAGAGGAAAACTTGAGTGTTTTTATTTATTTATGAGAAGAATGAAGAAAAGGGAGAGAATTTATAGTGCTTTCATTTTTCTTATAAAATGAAAGTTTTGGGGTTTGAAAATTTTAGTATTTTAAATATGAAATACAAAAAAATTATAAGGAGGTCATGGCTAATTGACTATATTATAGCCTTATGTGGAATAACTAATTGATATGACAATATTCTTACTTAATATTATAGGGATTCAAAACAAAATTAGTGCCACATAGGCATATAGCTAACTCTCAATAATCCACGGTGGACTCTACTAATTCCTCTTTTTTTTTTTTTACAAATGTGGGCTCTTTTATTTCTAATTAATGATCTTTTTTCTTACACTTAAATATATAAGCATTATCTCAACCATCCAAGGGGACTCTTCTAATTCCTTTTTTTTTTTACAAATCTGGGCTCTTCTTATTGTAATTGGTATTTTTTTTTTGCTTACACTTTAAATACATTATTATTATCAATAAAATGTAAATTAAGGAAAGAACAATGTTTAATTTCCAATGCATTCTATGGGTTTGCTTCCATCCCTTTTCCCGATAGCTTATATTTTTAAAAGGAAAATCCAACACTGGTAGGAAGAAGAAATAACAATTTGGATAAAGTCATGTAAAAAACAAGGAAACTATCTTCTTATTTACTCAAAATTTTGGGATTTCTTGCATTTCTCTCTACTTTTTTACACAATCCCGATAGCTTATATTTTTAAAAGGAAAATCCAACACTGGTAGGAAGAAGAAATAACAATTTGGATAAAGTCATGTAAAAATCAATGAAACTATCTTCTTATTTACTCAAAATTTTGGGATTTCTTGCATTTCTCTCTACTTTTTTACACAAAGATACATGGGAGGAAATGACAAGGCATATGGAATTGAGCAGTTATAACATCTTTTTGGGTTGTTAACGAAAAAACATTCATCCCAACTTTGCAAAGACGAAGCGAACCAATTTGAGGATTGCGAATTGCTCCCTCTTCCTCTTGATCTTCAACTGGCGACATGTCTCTCTTCCCCAATGATTTGCGGCTGCCTGCAGGTCGAGCGGCCAAGTTCTACTCTTCTACTCATCCGGTATCCCTTTTGTACCAAATTATGGGACAGGTAAAAAATTTGCCTACTTGATTATATTAATGGGTTTCTTATTTGTTTTTCAAGTTGTTATTTTACGATTATCTATTCTACTTTAATGTAAATAGGTAACAAATAATTGGAAGAGTTAATTGCTCGGACTTAGAGCATCTCTCCTTGATTGAACAATTGATCGTTTTCTTTAGAGGCCTATGGCATCATGATTCCATGGGCCCTGGAATGGAAAGCAAAGTTGAGAGGGTATGATGTTTTTGTGTTTTTTTATGTTCTACAGTGACCACTAGCTAGCTATACAATGATGATCTTATCAGCAAGTAGTATTTAGGAGGTGTTAAGTAAACGGGAAATATGTGGTGTTTCATAAAGGCGATTAAGAAGAAAGAAAGCGGTTGTGGTAAACAGTGTGTCTATGTCGATGTTCTTTCAAATTTTACACGTTTACAATGACATTTTTTTGTTTCCTTAGTTGGCAAGAAAACAATTAGGTTGAAATCAATCCCTGTTCATGGAGGGGAT